TTGCAGTCCGGTGCATTAACCCTCAGCACCATACCAGCTAAATACGTATAGCTTCTAGAAACTTTTAAGACTGTTGTGCTTTCCTCTCTTAGTAATTGCTCCTCAGGCCAGATGAACGTAAACAAAATTAAATTAAAACTTAGCTATCAATTTTGGCTCCCTAAGGAGCAAGTTTTAGGAATTTATATTTCATATATAGTTTTCTGTGAAAATTATTGTGAGCTCATAATCTATGCATTCAAAACATCTTTGAACTCTTAATCTACAGTACTATTTATTAAATTTCAGTATATTATACAAACCCTATAAATGCTATGTGAAAGTTACAGATTAAAAAAATTTTTTAATGCTAAATTTAACAAAAATCCCTGTAAACCTGTTTAAAAATAGAAAATGGTAAAAACGTATGAATGTTTACAAACATATTTCACATAATTGCAGTATCACAGTAACTGACTCACCTGAGGTTTTGGTCCTAGTATTTTTGAATATAATGTATAAGACATAACGTTACAGGCTGGATAGCCTATTCCAACTAGCATGGATGAAGTGAGGAACTGACCCAGATAGATCACTGGGGTATAGAAGCACCATGCTTGTTCAACTGGACAGCCAGTTGATTCTTCATAGCGATCTTCTACTGAAGATTTCCAGTAAGTAATAATAATTTCCCCAAATGTGGCATTAGGGATTGAATTATTATGTAAATCTATAAAAGCAAAATTAGTACAGTATGTTACTTATTGATTTTAGATGGATAACAGGGTTAACATTACAGAATTATGTATGGCTATACCTTCCCATTGTATTTTGGGGAACTGATTTCCCCAGGGTAACAAGATAAAGAAGCCAACCCATACAACGATGAGTCCTCCCAGTAGAATAGCACGTTCGCCAATCCTGTTAAAGAACAGAAACTGTAATTTAAAAATGAAAGATTATAGCAGAGTATTACTTTTATAATTAAAAAACTTTGGGCAATATATCAATTAATAGCATGCTAAATACAGTGTTTTCCCACTAGAAAGAATCAGGAATCCTTTGAAAAATAGCTAATTTTCAGGTTTAGGATGGAAAATGTATAAGATGAACCTGCCTATTTTGTTACATCCGAGTCCAAAGAAGCTACAGTAACAAACAGGTTGTGACAAAAGGACTAAGGACCCAATCTGAACAGGTTAGCCCAAAAAGCAACAATGTGACACCAAAAAAGAATAATGACTGCAATAGACTGACACACATAAAAATGTTATAATCTATGAATTCATACCACAGTAAAATAAAATGCACATTGGTCACTTTTAGAAGATGCTAGGGAACCAACTTATTTTTTAAATTCTAGTAAAAAAATAATCAAGCATTTACCTTACCTTTCCCATACAAACAGGGTAACCAAATACATACTCGGAGAGGGGGAAGCTTTTTTTTATAGAAGTAGTCCAGTCAATAAACAGAAAAATGATAGCATTTTGTACCCCATAATAAATTAATGTATGTAGGGAATCCATATCTTTTTAAATTATAAAAGGAGGTAAAATGTGTTTCTCCTAATTATGTTTACCTAAAAGATTAAAATAAAGCACCACATATAAACTATTCTTGCAAACAAAACCCCCCAAAATTGGAATACCTAAAAGGGGTTCTAGAACTTGCCCAGTGAAATAGGCCTCTTGCAAAGCCTTTGCAGAGTATAGGACCTTAGGTGGAATTCTGAATCCTATCCAGAACCCTCTGAGGTGGGACATTCCCACTAGCAAGGATAAGCAGACCAGCCTGGAATAGCTAGAGCAACATAAGATACATCTTCAAAGAAAGATCATCATGAAAAACACAAAACGAAAACGTCAGCATGACTGGCTACCACAAGAATAAGCAAGCTGTTTGCCAGGAACCCATCAAGGCAAGTAATCAAGTTCCTTCAGGACAAACTCCCCTCTAAGACTGAAACTCAAAGGGAACACATAAATAGGCATGTAAGCTTGCTGGTGACCACATTGATCTACTGGTGAGTGGAAGACGGGAAAAGGCAGCAATGAAGAAAGAAGTGGGCTGAGTTCAACCACAGTCCATTGATTCCTGTTGATCTGGAGAAGACAGAAGAG